ACAACAGAGCCGAGCAACACCAGTGAGGAACAGAGCATGAGGATGAGATAGGTGAGCAGTCCCTGAGGATGAGATAGGTGAGCAGTCCCTGAGGATGAGATAGGTGAGCAATCCCTGAGGATGTGGGGGTGGCACAGGCAGGGCTGTGCATGTTGGATCCCTCTGCCATCCCTGCCTCTTGCAGGTCCCTCCCTTTTGCCCCCTCAGAGCACCTGGAGATTCAGGCAAGGAGGGTCAGGAAGGATGACACAAGGGTGGGAAGTGTCCATGGAGCTGCATGGAAACGATCAGGGCTTATTTCATTCTATTCACAGCTGGAGAAGACTTCACCTCTGTCATCTCAGAAATCATGATGTATATTCTGCTGGTGTTCCTCACGCTGTGGCTGCTGATTGAGATGATCTATTGCTACAGGAAGGTGTCCAAGGCAGAGGAGGCTGCCCAGGAAAATGCGTAAGTGTGGAACCCCTGGAGGTGAGATCAGCTCTGCAGGAGCTCCTCACACGTCCCAGAGCTCTCACATGTGCATAGACCCGTGCTAGCACAGGACAATCAGGTCTAAAATTGGTGATTTTTTCTTCCTGATGATTGAATAAATTGTGTAATACTAATTCCTTCTGCCTCACCTCCTCTACTGTAAAACCCCAAGGAACTGGTTCTGTACCAGCAGGAACCTGAGCCTGTAGTGCATCCACAATATGGGACAGACCCTGTGTAGTTTGCCAGAAATCCTCAATAAGGTCTGTGGCAATATGACATGAAATGAATGACACTTGCACTCTGAGATGTCCAAGGCTAAAAAGGGTGTAGGTTATTTCCAATATTTATAGAATTCCAAAAGTGACCATGGATTGGAGGATGAAATTGCCACCTCTCCAACCACACTGGTCAAACCAGCAGTCAATCAATTCTCTCCTCCTCCAGAAAGGAATGCAAAGCAATCATTTACATAAAAAGTGTGTGAGAAACTCCATTACAAAAATGTAAACATCAGAAAGCTTAGAAGAACTTAGAAGAACTTTAGAAGAACAGGGCAACAAAGGTCGATGGAGTGAGTAGTGATTCAAACATGCTGGAAGGCTGCAGGAAGATGAACTTTGCTGTGGCTTGGGCTGGTTGGTGTTTGCTCTGCCCAAAGCCCTTGCAGTGTTTAGGTGCACCAACACTGTGCCCCTTGCACCACACACCAGGCAGGGAGTGAGCACTGTTCCAGGTTTGGGCCATGTGGAGATGCTCTCCTGGAAGGTCTGGTCTCATCCTGGCCCATTCCCATCTTTCCACACACTTGGCTGGGATTGGAGCACTCTTTGTACCAAGGAAGGCTGGCTGTGTAGGCTTTTGGAGCAGGGAAGTGTTTTCTCCTGCCGTTGCCCAGGAGTTTCCCTCTGTGAGCATCCACAGGTGATGTTGTTACCTCAGAGATGCTTCCAGGCATTCAGCAAAGGTGAGTTTACCCAAGCTGGCCTTTACACTGTGTGCTTTCCTCCTTCCCCCCAACTACAGGACAGACTACCTTGCAATTCCATCGGAAAACAAGGAGAACTGTGCTGTGCCTGTGGAGGAGTAGCAGAGGGGAGGCAGCGCAGTGAGCGGCACCAAGGTGGGTCATGGACAAGCGGTCACTCCTTGTGTCTGTCCACCCTCAGCTTCCTTGTGGTGGGGCTGGAGGCTCCTGGAGCGTGGCTGTGCTTCCCTGGAAACCTCAGAAGCCACACAGGTGTCTTTAGGTGTGCTTGTATTGCTTGAAACACAAACCAACACAGGCCACAATGTATTTATGCCTCCTTTACCTATTGCTGTGGAGTTGGGAATCTTCACTTCACTTTTCCCTGCACAAGGACAGCTGTAAGAGCTCTATCTCAAAAGGAAACACGTTCTAGGAAGGAATTTTATTGGGATCTCTAGCTGGTCAGAGTGACCCTGAGAAGAGTTTGAAAGTCTCTTTTCCCAGCCCGGCACTTGAAGAAGGAGTCAGGGCTCTTCATTTCTCAGTCTCAAGGTTGTTTATTTTATCTTATCTATAAAACATTTTCTCCTGCCCTGCTGAGGTCCATCCAGCAGGACAGTTCCAGGCACTCTGCCTGCCCCCAGTGCAGTGTTATGTCTTTATATTAAAAACTACGTGTACAATGTTTACAATTACTTTCCAATGCGTATCACCTATGTTAGACAGTGAGCTTCTACTCTAAACCAATCCAAAAGTGCCACCATCACAGCAGAAGATGGAGGCCAAGAAGAAGAAGGAGAAAGACTGGACATGTCATGTCCATCTTGCCTTCTGAACCCCCATACCAAAAACCCCAAAAAATCCATTTTTCACCCCATGATAACATCACTAATATTCTATCTAAACTGTTGAGGCTTGCTGATCTTCATATAAAGTTGGTAACTTGCTCCACAGGTCATAATCAAACCCACAGAGGCATTCTGGGCTCTGTGCCAGGGTCTCTGAGCCCCCTGGCAGGGTCTGGGCTGCTCAGGACAGACAGAGGGATGTGCTGGGTCCTGACAGAGTTTGTGTGCTACAAATTAAAATCTGGATCTTTTACCCTCTCGTTCACCTCCGGTCAGCTCCTGTGCTAACTCCCCCCTCACCCCTGTGAGCTCCAAGCGGAATTGTCTCCCTTGCAGGGGCTCTGAAGACAGAAGGACCACGCCACACCAGCCAGCTTTGAGGGGAGCTCTGCGCTGTCAAAGGAGGAGCAGGGGGAAGTGTAAATTCTCTCCCATTTGGACTCTGTACAGCCTTGACTTTGGTCCTGTGACCCACCTGAGCTGCCAGCCCGGTGCTGAAGGACTCCTCTGTGGAAGCATGCTGAGCAAAAGGGTGTGGGCAGCACGGCTCCTCCCCGACTCTCAGTCCCACCATCACCTCAATGGCTTTGTAAATGTCACCTGTCACTCCTTAGCTGCTCTCACCACCACCTTTATTTGCTAAATGTGCTACTTCTCCACTGCAGAGGTTAAGGGTATGTACGGCACGCTGCTCTGAGCTGCAGGAGTGTGAACAAGGATCTCTTAGGGGGTTATTCCACCACATACTGTGGCCCAAGTGGTTCTCTTGGTGTTAAAACAGGAAGAATTTAATTAATTAGTGAAGTCACTCTGAATTTTAGGCTGTCCATGCACAAGCAGAGTAGGGTGAGGATTGTAATGCACTAAAAATGGAAATGTGTAGTAGGAAGGACAGGTCTCTGTCATGTTCACACTTTGGAGGGAATTGAGAATACAGACCATGAAGTATTCCTGCTTTGGGAAGCAGGATGATGTAAATATAAGAAACCCCTGTGTCCCTCTCATTTATCAAAGTGTCAAAGCCCTCATTCCACCTGCCTGGCACAGCAGGAGGAACCTGCCACAGCTGGCAAGGCAGCAGGACAACGTACTGATCCACCTTTTCCTGGGAAACCCCAAAAAGGAAGGCAGCCCCATGCTGGTAGGCAGTAGAAATAAATAGGATGCAAAGCCCTCACAGCTGAGTAAAATGGTTGTAGTTTTGTAACCGTGATGGTTCTCTGGTGCTGTAGCAGCACCATCTAGAGGGACAGACAGAAAACACCCACTTTTCCCAGTTAATCCTAATTCTCTCTTGAGGTAATTAATCACCAGTATAAATAGTCTGGATTAATCATAAATGATCTTCTGGTGCCCAGGAATCACCCTGCAAATCCCACCTTTCCCATGCAAACTTACCTTTTCTGAGGGTTAAGCAGAATAAAAACTGTTTTCTGCCCTTCAGCACAGATCAGTCGAGCTCAACAGCTGGGATTGGAAGGGAGGAAAAGGCAGAACCATTGGCCAGGGTGGAATTGTGCTGTAAAACCAGGTGGGGAAGGTTTGGGCTTGTTGCATGGCAGAGCTGTGACACCCCTGCTGCAGTGGAGCCTGTGCTGCTTTGTTGACAACTGAGTTGACAAATTCTGCTCCATTTGTGAAGTAGCTCCAAGTGCTTGTGACTCCAGGCATGCTCCCCACCCACGGGATCCCCTCTGCTTTGTCCTGCTGCTTTTTATGTGCTGGCTAAAAATCACAGGAATTACCCCATTTATAAGGCAGGCTCAGGCCAATTTCCAGCTGGAACTTGTTCAAAACCCTTTTTTAGAGTGGGTGTCAACTTTAGCCAACTACTCCAGTGCAATCTTGGTAGTAGGATTGCTCCCAAACCCAGAGCCAAGCCTGGCAAGGGGAGCACATTTTTTAGATGAAGCGCACTCGCAGTCTGGACACCAGTTCCAAGATCCTGATATCCAAAAGGGATATCCAAGAATATTCAGCTAGATGCCATCTTTTTTCCCTATCCCAGTTTGCCTGGCAGAATCCTGAACTCAACAGAGGAGGGACTGAGTTGTAACTCTGGGGTTTCCAGCACTGCCCACGGCTCTGAGCCCATTTTAGGTGAATTTTAGGACACAACTCCAGCTCTGCTCCTCAGTCCCTGTGAGCCACAGACAACCCTCTGGTGTCATACTGTTAATTCAAAGCAGGAGTGAACCCAAGAACTTCTTGAGAGCTACCTCAGGTGGTAAAGAAGGGCCGTCCCCTTGTCCTGCACCTCCCTGAGTCCCACAGGCATCTTCTGGATGCTTCTTTTGGACAAATCTTTCACTTTTCCAGTTCCTGCAGAGAGAGGTGACATTGCCACGTGGTGTTCCAAGCAGGAGGAAACGGGGTACAAAGTTCTGCCCAAGAATCTCGCAGGGTAAAAGGAATAATAATTGAAAAATTGGTGATTCTTCAAGACCTGGAAGAGATGGTCCTGACAAAGACTCTGTGTGTGATGGAATGAGCAAGGAGACTCTGGAACAGGCAGGACAATAAAAAGAACCAAGAGCCACGCTGGTTGTTGGATAGATTTTTTAATTGATACCGTACTTCCATGGTACTAACTACTTACACAGAGTTTGGCTGCAGAGCCTGTACAATTCCTACATTCCAGCACGTTCCAGTATCGCTTTGAACCGCGGGTTGGTTTTTGTTTTTCTTTCTTTTTATGTTTTTTTTTTTTTTGTTTTGCGCACAGCGCAAAGTTTCTGACAGTCGGGACAAGTCCTAAAACAAACCCACAATCCTTCCCCCACCCACCCCAGAGTCACCTCAGCCAGCAGCCCCCTGCTTCTGGAGGGGATTCCAGCAGGGATGCAGTGCCTGGGGTGGTTGTAGGAGCTGCTCCTGTGCTGTGCTGAGGAGAGCAGAGCTTTGTTCATCATCCCAGGAACTACAGGAGCAGGGCGGGAGGACAAAACCCAGGTGGGGAGAACAAAACCCAGGTGGGGAGGACAAAACCCAGGTGGGGAGGACAAAACCCATGTGGGGAGAACAACCCCAGGGTTTTAGCAGCTTTCTCCAGCCCTGGAGCACTGGTGGGAGATGAAATCCCACAGGAATGGTGATGTCCCAGGCTGCCCTGGGAGGTTGTGGTGCTGCCACTGCTCTGCTGCTCTTCCCTCCCTCCACATCCAGCCCAGAGCCAGGTTGGTGCCTCCATCCCTGCTCTCCAGGGGCCATTTCCCAGGAGGTGGGAATGTGGAGATGGGGATGACGTGCACGGCACAGGCTCCACCTCCCTGCTGGATGGAGCTGTATCAGCTGCTCCCCCAAATCCCAGTTCCACTGGGCAGCTCCACATCGGGGTTCATTCCCTACCTACTCTCAGGGTTTGGGGTCAGGGAAGGTGGCCTTGAACGTTAGCAATGGAATTGGCCTAAATGAGTGAGGTAACAGAAACGGCCAGGGGAGGAACCCCCCCGAGCCATGTGCAAATATAACTCCTTCAGCAGAAGGAAGTCCTTTTCCCTACTGAAAAAAAAAACCTAAAATAAAATAAAATAAAATAAAACACATTCACTTGAAGAGCATACAGACTGCAGGAGGGGAAGGCAGGCAGGGACAGCACCAGGTCAGACCATCTATGACACAGGTAATGATTGTCCAGCAGCAGAGGTGGGAGGGGACAGGGAAAAGCCAAAGCAAGCACTGCAAAACGTGTGGGAGAGGAGGGGGGCACGGCATGCCATGGATCCATGCTAAGAGAAGCCCATGCTGGCTGCCAAGATCAGGGAATGGCCTCGATCACAGTCACCCAAGACACGAGAGTGTTTGGCCAGCGTGCACATCTGGGAAAAGAGAGGATTTATGGCACAGAGAGACTCGTGCTGGAGAGACCGCAGAGCACAGAGATCACAGCGTGTCCGGTGGGGAACAGACTGAAAATCAGCACAAGAACCACCCTGGCACAGGTGTTCTGTGAGCCACAGAGCTCAGAGAGCACAGGAACCACCCTGGCACAGGTGCCCTGTGAGCTCAGAGAGCACAGGAAACACCCTGGCACAAGTGTTATGTGAGACACAGAGATCAGAGCATGTCCAGTGGGGAACTGACTGGAAAATCAGCACAGGAACCACCCTGGCACAGGTGCCCTGTGTGCCACAGAGCTCCAACCATGTCCAGTGGGGAACAGACAGGAAATCAGCACAGGAGCCACTCTGGCAGTGCTCTGTGAGCTCAGAGAGCACAGGAACCATCCTGGTACAGATGTTCTGTGAGCCACAGAGATCAGAGCATGTCTGGTGAGGAACAGACTGGAAAATCAGCACAGGAACCACCCTGGCACAGGTGCTCTGTGAGCTCAGAGATCAGGGCACATCCAGTGGGGAAATGGCTGGAAAGTCAGCACAGGAACCACCCTGGCACAGGTGCCCTGTGAGCCATTTCCCTCAGGAGCTTTGGTCCCAGAGTCTCTGTTCTGAGCTGTGTTTTAAGCAAGCCCCTGCCAGGTATTTTGAGTGGTGCTGAGGCTGAAAGGACAAATCCAGAGCCCAGGGGCCTGTGCCATGGGCTGTGCAGTGAGATCCATGGGTAAACCCCCTTGGAGCTGAGCAGGCAGTGCACAAAGCACTCATCCATCAACAGCTGGGGGTGGCAGCAGCTGCCTGGGCACACAGGACAGAGCTGCCCCCCTGAGCCGGCACTGCTGCTTTAAACAGTGATTTTAACACTGATTTTCTATGGAATGTGGAAGCAGACAGTTGCAGCTGTACATCAGGAGTTTGCTTCTGGGCTCCTGGGGAGAACAGCTGCTGCAGCACACCAGAGCAAACACAAAAGGCCTCAAATACCCTGACCCAAAGTGTCTCCAGCCACTCTCTGGAGAAGAAATTTCTACCTTGTTGCATAAAGGTAAGACCAGACTCTTATGTCACTGACAGGACAGTGCAGAGGAGCCAAGGAGGCTGAAAATCTGTCCTTATCTACACCCAGGTGAGCTGCTGAAGCTGTCTGATAAAGACAAGGATTAGCATTCCAGGATTAGCATTCCTAGAGGGGAATACATGTCCTGTTATCTCAAAGGCAGCTTTGAGCCTTCAGGGCTCCAAATCCAGCAAAGCCTTGTGCTCTGAGACCTTTCCTCTGCCAGCCCAGGGTCACACTGCACTGGAGACATTTCCTGTGCCTAAAGTTTCTGCTTTAGAATGATCCAGCAGCCAGAGGTGTAAATGTGTCACACAGGCAGCTCAGGGGACAGCAAAGGCTTGTGTCCCTCCTCTCCTCTCCCAAAGGACTCCAGGGAGGCAGGGAGGGCTCAGACACAAGCCAGGATCAGTCAGTTTGAGCTCACAGCACAGTCTGGTGACTGAGGAGTGCCTGGAGTGCAGAGCACCCAAAACCTCATTATCCTGTTAACCCACAGCAACTCCTTCCACTGCAAGCGCCTCTCTGCCTTTTATTTTCCCATATTCACTCTCTTCCACTCTCTTGGGCAGCTCTATCTGGAATCACCTGGATTTTTGTCCCTCAGAGGCTTCACAGGCAGAAACCTCTGGTATCCACTCAGGAAATGCCTGCTTGCACTGATCCAGGACTCAAATCCAGCTGACAGAGCTCTAAGATAAGCCGAGATAAGGTGTGCATTTATCAGGGGTGAGGCTGTGCCAAGGTTTGTGTCACAAACTGGTGGATCAGAGCCTCCTGCTCCCCCTTCTCCCAACAGGAAGAATCTTCCTTAGCAGGAATTAGGCTAGAAGCTGTTGGCATTGCTTGTGCATGTTTGGCTGGGGAAATGCCTTTTAAAAAATAAAAATAATTTAAAAATAATCCCTGTTTTGGTGGTTGTTCAGATCCTGCAAATCAAACCAAAAGCATCTTCCTTGGTAGGAATTAGGCTACAAGCTGTTGGCATTGCTTGTGCATGCTTGGCTGGGGAAATGCCTTTTAAAAAATAAAAATAATTTAAAAATAATCCCTGTTTTGGTGGTTGTTCAGATCCTGAAAATCAAACCAAAAGCATCTTCCTTGGTAGGAATTAGGCTACAAGCTGTTGGCATTGCTTGTGCATGCTTGGCTGGAGAAATGCCTTTATAAAAATGAAAATAATAAATAAAAAATCGCTGTTTTGGTGGTTGTTCAGATCCTGCAGACCAAACCCCACAGCTGTGCAGGTGGAAGGGTCAGGCTGGGAGGGAAAATGCACCTGGAAAGAATCCAGGGGGGTTTCTGGTGGGTGAGCAAGGGGAGAAGCCAAACCCTGCGTGGCTGTGGGAGCTGGGGAAGCAGCACCCTCTGTAACATCACCCAGGCCTCTCACTCCCAGAGAGTGTCACTGACCCCTCCAGCAAATTAAATCCAAAACTGGCTCCAGCACGAAAGGACCTGGGAGTTAATTTCAGCTGGGGATGCTGATTCCTGTCCCAGCTCTCCAGAGGAACTGAAAACTCCAAGGTTTTCTTCAAACCCTCACCCTTAGTGCTTTAAGTCCTTGCTTTTCCCCTTTTTATCACTACTGTGAGAGATTAAGAGGCAAAACAAGATTGTGACTCCCATCCAACTCCAAGGCTGCCAAGTGGGAAAAAGAAATAACTGGAAAAAACAGAAATCCCTAAAGCCTCAAAGAGAAACCTCCCTCAGTGTGAAGGACAGGTCCTGCTTGTTGCCCTTGTGTTCTCACTGAAGGATTTCACATTGCTGAGTGTCAACCAATTAAAAAAACCCATTTTAATGAGCAGGTAGGACAAATGTCAGTGTTGGGATTGCTACAGCTGCCTGGCCTGATTAACAGAGCTTTAACAGTGATTTTTAACAGTGATTTTAAACAGTGATTTTAAATAGTTCTGTCTCTGGAGCCCAGCCTGAGGGAACATCCTGAGCCTGCAGTGGAAATCTGCACAGGAGGAAGGATTTAGGGTGAGAACAAGGATTCCTTGCCTCCCTAACAGAGAGGGTGTGAGCAGCAAACACTGATCAGCAGCATTTATCCATGATTTCTCTGTCTCCAGGTGGAGGAGACCCCCCCATTCCAGGTTCCCCTTTCACAGTGTGCTCTCTCCTGGATCCCAGAGCTTCCTCTGTGTCTCCTGCTTGGAGCTTGGAATTCAATTCTAGCAGAGGGAAATCCCAGCAGCAGGGGGATCCTGTGTGCTTGGTAATTGTGGGAGTGGGTTAGAGGGGAAAGGGGGACTCTGGGGCAGTCTGGCAAGTCCCAGTGGGGAAAATGAGCCCCAGAAATCCCTGCCCAGGCCCTAGCACCTCAATTTCATGGTACAGCAGCCATTTCAGCAGCCTCCCTGGGAGAAAAGCCAGGGAGCAGTACAGTAGTCAGCAGCATTAAATTAAATAAATAGTCATAAATAGCCATTACTGTCTGGTTTTCCCCAGCTGGAGCTTGCTTTCACAGTCTGAAATGTCCTTTTGATGGGCTGGCTCCATCCATGCTCCTGCACATGGGATCTGGTGTGGGGGCATGGGGAGGAATCATCAGGTTACTCCTGCCTCCATTGGGAAGGGGGAGCTTGGAGGGTTTTCCTCAGGCTGCACTGAGGATATTCTGTGCTACAGAATGGTGTGAGACCAGTTATTCATCATTTAACTGGAGGAGTCACACTTGCACCATTTCCAAACCGGGGATGTGCAGCTGCCTCCCTCCTGCCACTCAGAAGGTGGAAAAATCCCAGCTGGACAAAGCTGGATTCACATCCCCCTCATCCACCTGGCTGGGGAAGAGGCCAAATCCTTTATTAAACCCTCCAAGAATCAGCCTGACCCCCACTGCAGTCCCAGAGGAGTTTGAGCATCGCACACACAGCCAAGCTGCCCCTCTTCCCCACCTGGCTGCTAATGGAGTCTGGAATTCTGCCCCAGAAGAGCACAAAATGCACATTTGGCTGTTTGTGAGTGCAGCTCCAGCACCTGGCTGCCCTCCAGGGCTGGTGTGTGTGCCTCACAGCCAGCTCTGCCCTGCCACCCTCTGATGGGCCCTTTTTCCTGCCCTCCCTTGCTCCCTGTGGCCCTTCCTGACCTCTCCTGGATTTTTGGAAGCCTCGTTGCTCCACAGATGCAGTCACATAAATATGCACAGTGATGGCTGTTGCTGCATAGATACAATTATGTGAATTTATCCAGGAAAGGAAGCTGTTGCTTTTCCCCCCTTTTTTTTCCCCCACAGATTTAACAAGACAAGGGCTGGGTGAACAAACAGCAGAGAGATTTGCTGAGCTGGGTGGTGGGAGTGTGTGCAAATCCATCCTAATTTTGGTTTTGTGTTTAAATCTGGGTGGTGATTCCAGCATCGATGCAGACCTGCAGCCCAGGGGTGGCAGAGCACAGGTAAAGGGGACACTGTCACACTGTCACACTGTCACACTGTCACACCCACCTGGGGGGCAGGAGCAGCACAGGGGCGTTGTGGAAGGGATTGCAGCTCTGTGCTCTGCTCTCTGAGCCAGCCTGACAGCAAATTCCAAAATCTCCAGAGAGCCACAGCAGCTGCCCCTCCTCTCCAAAGCAGCTTTGCCAGGGTTGGCAGCATTGCCAACCCCGTGTGCCAGCAGGTGAGGGGGTGACAGTGTCCCCTTGGGGGACAGCAGAGCAAAGCAGGGAGCTCCATGCACAGGGAGGGGATGGGGGGCACTCACACTGATGCTTCCCTTTGAGACAACAGAAACAGAACAGACAGACAGACAGACAGCAATATTCCAGAGGAGCAGTGCACGGGCCCAGGGAGCAGAGCTGGGCACTGCCCTAAGCACACCCCAGTGCTGGGAGAGCACAGCCCTCCCTCACACACACACCCCACACTCCCAGAGCCCCTCCAGTTCAGCCAGTGTTGGAGGTCACTCCTTCCCCTCTTTAGGCTTTTTTTTTTTCTTGGTTTTTTTCTTCTTTTTTTTTTCTCTTAAAATCTGTATATAATATATATATTTATATCTGTATATATATATATATTTATATATATATTTATATATCCTATTTACACATATTGCACACCGTCCTCTGGCCTCCTGCATTCCTGCCTGTCAATGGAAACGTTTCCTTTTCTCCTCTGGATCTGACCCGAAGTCCCTGGACCCGATTCCATTCTGGAGGTTTATTAGAGAATCCTTCATCTGCAAAACAAGAGATTTCTCCATTGTGGTGCTACCCTGGAGAAGAAAACTTGGGAATTTCCTTTTCCTTTTTTTTCTTTTTTTTTTCCTAGTATGGATACTATAATTGTGGTTTTGGTAGTGGGAATCAGGCCCATTTAAACCCCCAAAGCAGAACTGAGGGGAGGAGAATTTTCTTTTTTTCCTTTTTTCCTTTTTTCCTTTTTTTTCAAGTATGGATACCATAATTGTGACTTTGGGAGTGGGAGTCAGGCCCATTTAAAACCCCAAACTGAGGGGAGGAGAATCAGGGCTGGAACTGGGAATATGGAGCACCATTTTCCAGAAGGGGTGAGCAGAATTAGGAGGTTAAGAATAAACTGCTTTGTGACCAACCAGGACAGTGCTGAGGAGCCAAAGAGGCTCAGATTTGTCCTGATCTACACCCAGGTGAGCTGCTGGAACTGTCTGATAAGGACATGGATTAGCATTCCCTAAATTCTCTCTCAGGGGAAAGCAGCTCAGATTTAGGGACTCGTGAGGAAGTTCTCATTTCTGGACTGTATTTTCAGCAGCCTTGTGTGCTTTTTTTGGGAGCACACCCTGAAATTCCTGGATTTATAACAAAGCTGCTCTCAGCAGCCCTGTGTGCTTTTTAGGAAGCACACCCTGAAATTCCTGGATTTATAAGGAAGCAGCTTTCATTTCTGGACTGTATTTTCAGCAGCCTTGTGTGCTTTTTTTGGGAGCACACCCTGAAATTCCTGGATTTATAACAAAGCTGCTCTCAGCAGCCCTGTGTGCTTTTTAGGAAGCACAACTGAAATTCCTGGACTCACGCTATGAGATTTTTGTCCCCTTCCTCCCTGAAAGCTGCACACAAATCCAGGGTTCAGCTCAAACCAGTTTGCTCTCCAAACTGGGATGGCAGATTAGATACCAGAAGTGCCCACATGAGGTTTTTGGCCCTGCAGGGTTCTCTCCCTGCTGTGCATGGACCCCTCTGATGGGACAGAGCAGCCCTGGCCCCCTGACAGCCCTGTGGCACCCACCAGCAGCAGGAGATGGGTCTGAAGGAGCTGGCACACCTGAGGGGCTGTGGGGGCTGCAGGAGGTGCTGAAGGATGGGGGGCAGCACTGGGAGGACACAGGGACAGCCTGGGCACAGCCCTGCCTGCAGCTGTGCAGCCTCACCTGGTCCAGGAGCATCACGGAGGATTTGATGATCTCGCGCCATTTCTGCAGCTCGGAGTCGTGGTACTTCTGCTGGGACTCCAGCAACTGGGCCCACTCTGTCTGAGACTGGGGTAACCTGCCACAAAAACACAGGCAAGGCTCAGAAAATCCCACTTTGTACAGAGATTTCTCTTTCACACCATCACAGAATCACCAGGTTGGAAGAGGCCTTCAAGATCATC